AATTATATGTCAAACAAACAACATGAACATATGATAATAGGCATGTGTTGTTGGGTGCATGGGCCTCTTTATGTTGGGTTTCTGTCAAACAGATTTTGGCTTTCAGAACTATATATAAAATTCCCCGAACTATATATAAAATGTTTCAGAACTATATATAAAATCCCCAGAACTATATATAAACATAACCATCCATTTTGGGGTTACAGGCCCATGCACCCATTAACATAAGACTTTTTAACATGGTTGTTGGATGTCGTTGGTGTGCGTGTGTATGCGCGCTGCTTATTTGAGCATGTGGCGGGTTTTCAATAAAAAAAATGCAAACAGCGGAGATGAACCTCACAAATGTGTGGTTATATATTGTATGGTTGCGCCATACTCCTACCATCAGTTTTAAATGTCTTAACGACCCACCTATGATTCCTCTTTGCCATTCTGGCTTCAGATTGAACCCTCAACAATTTTTGGGTAGGAATATGTTCCCTTCCACTCACTGATTTCCATATAATTTGGGCTTTGGGTTTTGCGTCAATGGAGCGTTCAGCCACAAAGCGGGTTAGGGTCAAGGTACGCCGCAAAGTGCGAATAAAGAGGAAAGACAAGCAGCATAGTGCCCGCCCCACTCCCAAACTTGCACTCCCAGCACCACCGCCCCCTCCACAACTGTGCTTCGGGACAATCACAGCCACATAAGCGACGCTTGCCACCACCCCCACCACCGCCACCACCATCACCACCCAAGCGACCCGCGCACACATCTTCACCAATGCTACTCCGCTACCCCCTACCACTGCCACCACCGCCACCTCCCCCACCTCCCCAAACCTCCAAGCGCGCAAGAACGAAAAGTCGACAAAGTTCCTTCCGCTAACCAAGGTTCAAATGACGGAAGCTCTGAGTGGAAAGGTTCAAATCATCATCTCAGTACATGTCAGAATATGTCCAAAAGCCATCCCTAGATGCCATCTAAGATGATCAAAGTTTTTTTTGGCAAACTTTTTGCGTTCTTGCTTTTCCACACTTAACTTGGCATTCGGGCTGGCGCGGGCAATGGCATTGTTTGGCTTCACCCGCACAAACACTGATGACAGTGACGATCCGTTGCTTGCCTTACATCTAAGTTACTCCATTGTGAAAATGGAAGGCACTAATTTTTGAAATGCACCATCTATAGACCACTTGGGGGATGGGATGTTTTGCGCCATCTATAGGTTCCCAAAACACGTGGTTGAAAACAACCTGTCTTCCTCTAGGTTAGCATAAACTTAGTATTAAGATCTGGGTGTACATGGCGTGTAGATAGTGTAGCATTCCGAGTATTCTACTACTAGTCCACCATTGCTACCTTTCGAATACCAATACTTTCCGTACAACCCAGTACTTGCTGTACAACTAGTCAGATTTTTAGATTCAGAACTGATTCAGAACAGCTATCATGGAGTGATCTGATCAGAATGGGGCATCACACCACATATGTGGCATGTCTTCACAACCATCTTACGACATCATCTTATATCATGTCATTTCATTGTTGCTCATCATAAGGTTTCGATCCATATCAATATCTTGTCAATATCAGATTGGTTTTTCCAAACGATGCATGCTATGAAACTATGAGTCATATGAGCGTCCATGGGGCAAACATGTTCCTGGCCTTACATGATCTGGTCTCTCAGCATATACTACTTATATACTTATATATTTATATACTGTATCATATACTGTATATTGTATACTGTATACTGTATACTGTACCCCCAAGAAGCAACCTATCAACTGCCTAAGGACCAAATGTGGCCCACATGACTATTTCCGCTACTACCGCAAAGCGCTTGGCCTACGTGGAAAATTTTCCACAAGTGACAGAGCAAAGTTTCTTGGCTAAAAGGACTTGTCCACATGTGGTCTCTAGTTTACAACCTAGTGATGTCTTATCTTCTTTTGGCCCTGTGTGTATTAAAATCACGCTATTTTATACAATACTAAATTTTGCTGTGGGACATCGCCCTGCAAGTATGAATCAAAAAGGCAAAAGGGTCCTGACTAGAGAACTGCGAACAGGCACTAGGCTACTGTAGCATCTCAATCTCGTACTATTGATCCCCCCCAAAAAATATTGTTCAGAAGTAAGATGTCCTGATTTTGATTCAACGTGATTTTTAACTGCGAATTGAGGTACACGTAAGTTAAGAGTTACATGTGCTACGCACAAGTTTCAGCTGACAAAAGGTAGGTAACGAGGGCCAAGCGCCACCATTACAACCATTGCACCACAGTTGTTTGCTTAAAAACACCGTTCTCATGGCGCTTACCGCTTATGAGTTGTTACTTGGCAAAAAACATGTTCTATCTCCCCACCAGATCCTTCCATTTTTTCAAGGATCACGGTGACGGAGGCTTGTGCTGGAGCTGGGACAGGCACATGGATCGGGAATCTTGGCTCCCAAGTTGTGGCTCTAGTCAAAGCTAAGGGCAAAAAACATCTACTAATTCATTTTCCAGAATAAGATGTTCTCAACAGGTCAACATCAATTATATGCTGCTACGTACCATTTCAAACAGAATACGAATCGAATACATATGACTGCAGCATATGATACAGGTTAGGATCCTTGGTAACAACAAAGGGGCACGACACGCACAAGATTTAAGGCAGTGGCCCTTATCAATTTTGATTTGTCAGACTCCTGCATTTTTACAGCAGTCATTTTTCCCAATCCACCCATCAAAACACAAACGGCAAAACCACGTTTTCATGAACCTGGACCCAGGCATTGTTTGTTTACACCATCATCCCAACACTGCTGTGTTGTTTTTTCTATTAAGGCGAGAGATATCCGCAGAGCTTGGGATGAAGATTGTCACAACTGGCGCATATGAGATCTGCCCACGCAAAACGAACTGGCTGAAAATGAACTATGACCTGCCAGCTCGTCACTTGGTTTTGTGAAAATTCGCGTAGCGAAGTAATTTTAGGCGTGTGAGGCTGCAGGTTAAATTGCTATGATTCTGAATTCTGGCTAGTTCTGGCTATGAAGCAAGATCCCACATGTCTCCACCAGGATTAAGGAAAATCAATCGTTTCAATTACGCTACCGGTGTTCCATGTCAAGTCAATAATATTTGAAATCTGCCTTTGTGTCTGTTGTCTTTACTTCCTTCCAGCAGTTTTTGTTTTGGTTCTGCCAATGGCATGCCAAGTTGAACACATTTTTGGCGACTTGGCCCACCTCGATGACCCGGAGACCCCAACTGACTGCGGGCAGCACAACAAGAAGTGCCACCATTCTAAATCCGAGGACGGGATTCGTTTATATATAATTCAATAATACAATAATATATATATAATGTAAGAAACACTTAACATACATTTAAAATATTATACAATATATCATGTTATATAAAAGTATGTACGTACATGTGATCTGTGAGTTTTGTTTCCGACCAAATCACCGCAGTCGTTGCGCACTGACTCCATCTTTGTTGATTTTTATGTTTGTGTTAGCATGCCATTGTTGGTATATTGCACCTTGATTTTCGGGCCTGACCTTTATCGGGACCAGAATTCACAGAATCATACAATGTAATTGAGCAAAACCGAGCTACAAGAACAACAAGTTGAACCAGTTGAACCTGAAATTATAGGAGCACGCATTGAATAGTCTTAAACTTAAAACAAGGGTCTTTGCTGGTACAAACATGCCACATCCGCTTCCCCTCCGCGTGCCAGGACTTATATTTGATTGGGCCGCCATGTCAGCCCTACTCCAAACTCAATTGCAAGCGCGGACAGCAGAACCCCTTCGAGCTGCCGGGTGGGGAAGTCTTCTTGGTATCTGCCAGGCAAATCAGAATTTTGGTTGCAATCATGGTGGCCGATCTCTGCTAGAAGAAATGTCGTGTAGATTACCTATATATATATATATCAGTAGATAATCTAGAGTCTCCATTGTTATGATTTTCCGATTTCCATTGCGTCCATCAGCCTTGGCGGTGATAGCTTCCTTTTTCTTTTGAAAGGGGCATTCGGAACCAGTGCCATATCACGAAACAAAAAGTGTGTATAGTCTGTTGGTTTCAACCCTGCTCAAGGAGCTCGTCGCCCTGCTGTGGTGGTGTTGGAAGAGGCGGGGCAGCGGTTTTGGATAAGCACGTGTGTGACGTGTTTATGGTGTTTATGTTCTGGAGCAAGCCTGGTGATGCTTTACGGTTTACGGCCAGTGGCTATAGCAATTGGAATGTGGCAAGCACAGTTCCAGGGATTGGGCATTGGGGGTTCCTGCGTGCAGGTGTACGGAATATTCGATGAGTTCCAAATTCCACCCGGTGAGGAGGACAATCCTTTCTATGCTCAGTACAAGGCGCGTCACCGTCTTTTTTTGGCACCAAGTGGCAAACGATGGGGCCACCTGAAGTCATTTTTTCAAGGTTCGGTATGATTGGGGTACCAGGGTAACTGTTGTCCTTCGGATTTGATCTGTTGAAATGTCAGGCCCGCGCAAAAAAAACAACGACCCCTGATTGTGTCAAACCTGGTGGTCAAACCTGGTGCCACCAAATTACTTCGTGAAGTAACATTTTTTTGATTTTGGACCGTATCATTCGTGTTTGTTTGAAGAATTGTGTTATGGTTGGTTTATGATTTTAACTAGTCCTTTGATCATGCCAAGGGTTTGTGAAAACCGAAGCGGGACAAAGGGTGTCACCCTGTCGCCATGCAATGCTCAGGCACTTTTTGCCCGGTAGATGGGGCACAATACATTTATGAGCCCAAGTCACTGTTTAGTCCTTGTTCCGGATATATTCATTATTCAAATCTAATATGTTTTTATCATATACTAAGAGGTAAGCATTTACCATACGGTAGAAGTAAAACATCATATCATTGTCATTGTCTCATAGCGGCAATTGTTGACAAATGTTTTCAGGTCATAATGCTTCTGGTTTGGCAGTTTTCACGACTGCGATTGACAATTTGCGAAATGGCGTGATCCCGCATGCCGCTTTCAGATCTTTGGCGTGCGGAGGATGACGGATCAGAGGATCCGGAGGCAGAAAATGAAATTTTGAAGAACCGGGTGAGGACCGAAGCCGCCCGATCAGGGGCCAGACTTGCCAGGGAGAAACGAAAATCTACTGCTGCCAAGTCTGTCGAGTCAGATGGCAAAGAGAACATGTTTGCCCGCCGCTTGCAAAAGGAATACCTGTCGCACGCAGGCAGGAGCCTGACGCTTGGTCAAAGACCATTTTCTGACAAGGATTCCCAAGTTGAGGTGGGTGCAAAGCAGCAGGTTGCTCGTGAACGGGCTCGCTGTGCATGGAGTCTTTTGAAGGCTTTGGGCACAATGGTCCAAAATCTGCTGCAGCCATCCGGCAAGGCTGCCCGTCACCTTGTGAATGTTTGCACGGCCGATGACACAAGCACTGCTCTGAAGCCAGCCATGGGAGACCGCAATGTGGTCTGCACAATCATGAACACGGTAGAGTCGGCTTTGATTCGATATGATGATGGGTCGTGGGAATGTATGTACATCCCAACTCCGCTGCAGGTTTTGAACACGTCCACTGCTTCTTCAATACATGCCTCGTTTGCTTCCTGGTTGCTTGTGTCTTCAAGTGGCGTGGGGTTTCGTTGGTTGAGCCTTGGTGTTCAGAACAATGTTCTGCAATCAGTCGAATGGAAAAGTTGCATCATGGTCGGTGATGCCTTGAAAGCAAACGCCTGCGCATGGAAGGCTGAAACCAAGCTGCTCCTATCAGATTCTGCTCTTCCCAAGACGCTCGGGTTGCGTGTGAAGTGCTCCCTACATCAGCTGGGGCTTATTCGCAAACCAGCAGTTCTCAGTGTGTCGTCATACTGGACAACACTGGTACGACTAGGTCATCTCTACGAGACGCACAGTTTTCGAAGGACCCTCGCTGCAGCCATCATGACTTTTGTGAGACAGGAAGGAAATTTCATTCGAAACTGCGTTGAGTTTGCAAATTTTCTTTGGGAAGGTAATTGTAAAGCCTTGGGATTTAGGCCCTCAAGAAAGTGATGAGATTGAATGGCCCAGACATGGCTTGCTGAGGTATTCCGGTCTTCGAATACCCAGATGAGATGGCTCAGTGGGATCGCCGCGCCCGCTGGTTGCAAGCGGGCTTCAAGTGCACTGCAAGCAAGACTTGGAGCGCCATGCTGAATGACATGATGCAGTTCGTCAATGGAGACTCCACCGAAACAACTTTGCACCATTACTGCAAAGTCGGGGTGGGGGGCGCTCCAAGTTGCTGCGATTCAGACGAGGAATCTGTATGCAAACTCCTGTCGCACCTAGTGCCATTTTGGTGCAGAGGCTATCAAACCCCTTTGTTGTACAGGATGAAGCATTACGGCCCTGCATCAAGTTTCATGAAGCTGGGCTGCTGCTGGTTCAACTTTCTACCGCAGGCTCTGGGCTACATGGAAGCTTCCCGCCAGGGCAGCGATTCGGAAATAGGGCGCCTTGTGGACACATTTCTTGCGGATAGTGGTGGAGCCTTTCCCGCAGGGGCTGACTTTGAACGTCTTTTGGCCGATGTTATGGATTCAGACGAGAGCTTCGCAGCAAAGAATGGGGCTCGACGCGGCATGGTGGTCCAGGAGGTTGTGAAACCTGACTTTGCGCAGTCTTCCATACTCATTGATTCCGTGATCAATCCTATGGAGTTCGGGGTGAACTTTCTGCTGGGGCATTCGAAGGTGCTGCACAATCTTTCGTATGTCGGCCGTGGGCACCCAGATCATGAGAAATTGAAAAAAGATGCCAATGACAGGTTTCTGCAAGTTGTGACGGGCCGGCTTGGCGAGAGGATCATTTCCCAGTATATTGGCTTCCTTGAGACTGGTTTGGATGAAACCGTTCAGATGGGCGGCTTGAACATGAATGAAGCATCTTTGGCCAAAATCATTGTGCTTGTCTTGGTTTGCATTTCAGATGTTTACAGGCGATTCATTGCAGAGTTCAGTGTTCCCCCATGGACACTTTTCACACTGCTTGGACAGTCAACTGCTGACTTTCTCACTTCATGGAGGGATCTGGAAGCCAAAGACAGAAAGTGCAAAGCATGCGTCGACCCACAAATGACACGCAAATTGCTTCAAAGTTTCCCTGACCTTGCTTCGAAGCCTGCTGATTTCCAAGAACGCACTTGCCAGGAAATCCAAGGCATTTTGCAGGACATCAGCGAAATTGCTCCGACTGGTTCTGACTCTGTGGAACTGAAGAATGGCCAAGTCCAGTGGTCCGCTTCTAAAAGAGGGCGGCAGAATGTCAAGGGCCCGAAAAGTCGTACAGAGGTTTCTCTCTTGCACGCTGCAACAAAGAGCTATCTTTGGGCAAAGGATATTGCTGGTGCCCAGACACTGCCCAGCAAAGCGGTTTCTTCAGGTATCAGGAAGATGGCTGGCACCCAGTCCACCAACCAGTTTTCCTCTCAAGCCACTTGGCAGTGACTGTGTGCATTTTTTCCCCACCTGCCAGGTGAGGGTTGTTAGATTTTATGTCAGTTGCCTCCTCCTCCTCCTCCTGCCTCGTCCTCCTCTCGTCCTCCTCTCCTCCTCCTCCTCTCCTCCTCGTCCTCCTCGTCCTCCTTGTCATCCTTGTCGTCCTCTCGTTGTCCTCCTCGTCTCGTTGTCCTCCTCGTCCTCCTGCTCAACTGCGACTCGCGATCCACAGTGTTCGCTGCCGGACCTCAACCACGACCATCCACGCCCAGTGTTCCCTGCCGGACCTCAACCACGGCCATCCAGTGGTCCCTGCCGGACCTCAACCACGCCATCCACGCCCAGTGTTCCCTGCCGGACCTCAACCGCGAGTATCCACGCCAAGTGTTCCCTGCCGGACCTCAACCGCGACCATCCACGCCCAGTATCAACCGCGAGTATCCACGCCAAAAGATATGCCACATAGAGTGCCAGAAGATATGCCAGATAGAATGTTAGAAGATATGCCAGATAGAATGCCAGAAGGTATGCCAGATAGAATGCCAGATAGAATGTCAGCTAGAATGCCAGAAGATATGCCAGATAAAGTGCCAGAATGTTTGCCAGATAGAATGCCAGCAGATTTGCCAGATAATATGCCAGAAGATATGCTAGATAGAATGCCAGATGGAATGCCAGAAGATTTGCCAGAACATCTGCCAGAAGATATGCCAGAAGATATGCCAGATGGAATGCCAGAAGATATGCCAGAACATCTGCCAGAAGATATGCCAGGTAGAATGCCAGAAGATATGCCAGATAGAATGCCAGATCGAATGCCAGAAAATATGTCAGATAGAATGCCAGAAGACTTGCCAGTAACAACATGTATAAATGTCATGGTGGGGATCACACGAAGTAAAGTAATTGTTTTGGCGGGGTATCCGAAGCCACAGAGCGTGGACTTTACAAGTTGGTTGCCATTGGTTGCCAAGGACAAGAAGAGAACCCGTACCACGCAGGAAAATTCGGCTCAGCGGGAACAACGGCTTGAACATGCAAAAAAAAGAAAGATCCGAAAAATTTCAGGATGGAACGTGTTCCAGCGGGACCGGATGCAGAATCAAACTTTTAGCCAAGATGATTACAAAGCAAGAGTTCGTGAACTGAGTGCTGAGTGGAAGCGGATGCCCGACGAAGAGAAGGCAGCTTTCCAGATAGAAGCCAATTACCAACAAGGTCTTCTTGATGATTTGGCACAGACACCACTCCCCACGAAAGACCACACAGACGAGAAGAAGGAGAATGTTTGGAGAAATGGTGCGAAAAAATTGTCGGCACGGCGGCTAGAGTTGAACACCGAAGCCTTTCAGCAACACCCGCTCTGGAGCTTGCCTTCTCAATTTGCGGACAGTCCCTTGGAAATTCCGATGGGGTGGATAGTTTTTGATGTTCTTGTTTGCAATGCTGGCTTTGATGGACTTATGAGAACCTGAAAGATTTGAAACACAGCGCGTTCTTCCTGCACAGTATGGTTTGACATTGACATGACCCGACTGGACACTGCATGTGACGTAGTGCGATAGTTTGATTTCAGATGGCTCTGTCGATGTTGATTTCTTATTTGTTTTGTCAGAGATTGCCGACATTTACCCTGCGACGTCAAATATTTAATGTCGTCAACCGATACGGCTGATACAGATACATACTACACATGTTCAATTGCTCCAAAGCCAAGGTTTCGGGGCTGTGAAGGAGGCGTGGATTGATGTTCTGTCAGACGACAAGGACATCGCAGTCAATTTGGGAGAAACTCTTCATCAAGCACTGGATGAACGACCCAAAGGCGAGGTTGACACTGATGTGGAGATTTTGGATCCTTGCTTCCCATTTCTGTGTAGATGCGATCCCATGTACAGTTCGGTGAAGAATTTGGTGAAATCATTCGAGACAAAGCTTTTGGCCCACGAGATGAAAGCTTCAACCTTGCTGTTTTTTTCTACAGAATCCCGGTCAGATCCCAAGGCTTACCTTTTGGGAGTCATGTTGAAGAAGCCTTGCATGCAGATATTAGTTGAAGCAGCTGTCATAGAAGAGGCTGCCCATGGAATCAGTGAAATTCAGCTGTGTTCCGGCACTGGCATCCCGAAGTTCCGATATTCACATGAAATTTTCCATGAGTTTTGCAAAGGCAATCTTTCTTCCACCCTACCAGACTTGACGGTCACAGTGGAAGCATGGACCTGCGAGGCTTTTTTTGGCGAACAGCGCCAAGTCAAGATCAGATCTGGCATGTTGATTTCCGCATTTGAAGTAACCGTCCGGAAGCCAGTCACGAAGAAACCCATCAACGTGAAAATTCCGTTTGGGCTGTCAATCCCTAAAGGCAAAAAGGTTCGAAAGGAGCACAAAGTAAAGAACAGTGTTGCAAAACAAAAGAAAGTGCAACAGTCAGAGTTTCCAATGCCCGGCATTGGGGCTGCTGCAGAGTCTTGCGGAGCGGAACCTGACTCAGGTTCCGACACATTTTCAGAGGACTCAGGGGACGAGGTCGAAGTTGAGCAAGAGGCCGAGCATGTGGTCCCCGCTTCTTCCACAGTTGCTCAAGAAGAGCTTCAGCTTGCGGAGTTAAAGCGTGAAATGGAGGCCGTCGATTCGATCAGAGATAAAGCTGCCGAACGGATTCAGGCAGGCAAAATCCCACCGAGCTCGTTTTTTTCTAAAGAAATTGGCCTTGATAGTGGGGGCATTGCCGTTACTGGCCGTGCGGTGTGTTTAGCGTGCAAAAAGCCCATCATGAAAGGGTCAGTCAGATTTTCATGGTATTACTCAAAGGTTCGACCACATGGATGGCTTCATTCATTCTGTCTTCTGCAGCATGCCAAGCAGACAGATGTAGAGCAGAAGACTGCTGAAAAGTTGCAGAAGATGACACGGCTGAAAGCCGGTCAAAATGATCCAGGTGAAAAGGCGATTGCAGAAGCAGCCGTGAACATTTTGAAAGGGTTGGCTTGATGTGCCAAAGCACCTTCACTGATTGAAGAAGAGTTCCTAGTTCCATATCATATAAAGCTGCCCGTCTCAATTTCGGTTTTTCCCGCAAAAGACCAAGCCTGATCCTTTCAGTAACAACTGTCCAAATTCGATCGCATTTGGCGTGTGCAAAAAACATGTGGCGGAGACGTGGGCGTACATAGTTTGTAGTCTGCAATGATGAAAGTTTTGCTTTTTTGTTGGTTTGTTTGCTTGTTAGTTCGTGTGTTTAATTGTTGCTTCATCGCGAAAGTATGCCAGTAATAGTCCATTGCATAGACCCATAGCCTAAATTATAGATGGAATAATATGTACAGTTTTGGGGATTCAGACCCCATTCTTTTTCCCAATTTTCCCAGGGGTTGTTGCGCACCGCTGCAGGCTCCGTATGATTTTATGATGAGAGGCATTTGGGAAGGTGAGGAACTGGGACTGGCCTTGATCAGAGGCTATCACTTGGAGGTGCTTCACATGGAGCAGCTTGGTTCAAAACCATATGACCAGACCGTCTGGACCATCTTACATGAATCATTTCTAAATTGTATGGACAGACATAAAATATATAATATATATAATATATAATATATAAAATATATAATATATAATATATAAAATATAAAATATATAATATATAAAATATATAATATATAATATATAATATATAAAATATAAAATATATAATATATATAATATATAATATATATAATATATAATATATAAAATATATAATATATATAATATATAATATATAATATATATAATATATATAATATATATAATATATATAATATAATATATATAATATATTTATATTTAATATATATATATATAAATATATTTCTGTTATATTATAGTTGTATTATATTGTATTGCACTGTACGTTATATTCTTTTATGATATGATATGTAAAAAAAACTGTACTGTACAAATAGTACCCGTGCAAGCCGGGGAAGGAAGTTTGAAAGAATCAACGCTTAGCTTATTAACTTCCGAGCGGAGCAAAGGCTGTGCCTATAGGTTGCTGGCGAGCCTTGTGTGCTTCGCAGCAGCAATCTCTCAAGTTCTCGTTCCCATGCCATCATCTCTTTTTATTACGACCATTTTTCATTTTTATCCGACCTCATTTCATCTCATCTCGTGTCATCTCAATTTCATCCTAGCCACTTTCACCTCATCTCATCACATGTCATGTTGCGTCTTCTGAACGTTCTTCACCACTTCTCATGTCATCTCATCTCCATTCATGTTGTCTGTGCGCTGGGCGTGCTTACCTTCAGTGCGCGTCTGCAGAAGGAACTGCTAATGTTTACTTAATATTTGGTTTGAAATCAATATCAAAGCAAAACATGCCGTATCATACCATATCATTACGATAACGTATGTGACACACACACACAGAGCGTTACATGTTTGCAAAGTCACATACGGACAGATCACACATCCACACATGACGTGATGAACAAGTGGCGTTGCATACCACCTGCTGTCGCATAACACGTGCACACATCTGAGCGCGCGGTATATATCCTGCACAAGCGCACGCGGGAAAGAATAGCCGGTCCAGTATGTGACAGCATGTCATGCCAGTATGTAGTTTAAACGGGAAGGAAACCAATGAAATCAAACCAAGGCATTCACCCACGCGATGCTGCGTCGGTCGTGGTCATTTTGTGCCTTCTTATTCAATTCTGGTTGATTCCTAGCAGTCAACGAAGTTAGTAACAAAAACAAACTGCCAACACTAGAAGGGACACCACCTCCGATACAGTAGTATCATCGCTCGCTGTGTGAGGACATCGCGTTTCAACCTTCCGCAGACCCGAAAGCGCGTTTACATTGTGATGGTGAAGACCACTTTGCTGGACGTTGCTGCTATGAAGTCTCTTGCGCATATCATCACCGAGACCCTCCCAGACTCCTTGCCGGATGATGCCTGTTTGGAGCATACCATGCAGTATGTGCGTGAAGTGGCCTCTTCCTA